CCCCTACCCGGGATGGAGCCCAAAACCTTTTGGTGCACAAGACAACGCCCAACCAACTGAGCCACACCAGACAGGGCTGTCTGGTTCTTTATTAACAATATTGGTAGAATTATATCTGGCCTATCTTTAGCAGGACAAGGTAAAATGGTAGATGTAAAAGTTGTTTTACCATTAACTACAGAAATGAAGGTTATAAGAGTTCAAAATACTGATATGGAAAGTTTGGATATTTGACTTACATTACCCAACTTAGCCTTTAAGGTTTAATATGAATTTTTGAATAGGTCTATTTACATGATTCAAGAGTCAAAATCACATAAAAAGTTAGAGAATTATTGTTCCTACCTCTGCCCACATCACCTGCCCAATTCCCTAATCTACCCCATCTCTAAAGATTTATTACTTTTTTGTATGACCTTCAAGTGTTTATTTGCAAATACTAATATTCATATATTTTCCCTATCTTCTCCCTCTTTCTTACACAAAAGTGGACTAGATATCTCATTTTTTCTCATGTAATATGTCCTAAAAAGTGTTCCACATCAGTACATAGAGACCTTTTTTATTCTTTTTATTAAAAACTGGTGTATACATAACAATTTATCTAAAATGTTCCCTATTGATGGACATTTGAGTTGCTTCTAATCATTTGTTATTACAAATGCTGCAGCAAATAATACCTTATACCTATGTCATACTAAAATTTATGTGCAGGCATATCTGTCAGATAAATTCTTAAATAGAGAATGTTGGGTTAAAGTATTAATGCTTCCATAGTTTTGTGCATATTTCCAGAGTCCTTTCAATACAGGTTATACCATTTTGCACTTCTATCTACAACATATGACAGTGCCTGTTTCCCCACAGTTTGGCCAACAGAATGTATTGCATCAAACTTTTGCCTTTAGAATATCTCATAGAAATAGAATTTCAGTATAGTTGTCTCCATTTCTTGAAAATTTTGCATTTCTTTTCTTTTTTAACACAATAACAATATTTTAAAATTTGTGTTTGCTAACCCCAATATTGGGATCATCATTGCTTCTGTTGGTTATTTTTTCTTGTCAGTCACATTTTTGCATGTCTAGTAATTTTGCTTTGTATGCCAGTGTTTGTGCATAAAGGAATTAAAAAGGCTCCAGGCCTTCCATGATGGGGCAGTGCTTTGTTCCAAAGTGTCTATTACATTAGAAAACAAAGCACTTCTGCCCTGGCTGGTGTGGCTCAGTAGTTAAGAGCATCAGCCTGTGGATCAAAGGGTCGTGGGTTCGAATTCCGGTCAAGGGCATGTACCTGGGTTATGGGTTCACTCCCTGTACCTGATCAGGATGGGTATAGGAGGCAACCAATCGATGTTTTTTTCTCACATTGATGTTTCTCTCCCCCCCCTCCCACTCTCTCTGAAAAGCAATAGAAAAAATATCCTGGTGAGGATTAAAAAAAACACACTTTTTGCATGAATTTTCCCAAGTAAGTGTTACTCCTTTTAAATAGAAAGGAACTGTATTTCAGTGAAATTTTCTTGAATTTTAGTTTTAAATATTGGTTCTGTCCCTTTATTTCAGTTTTCTTCCTCAGGGACTCCAGTTTTACATATGTTGGATCTCCTTTACCTATTGTCACTTTCTCTTTCTCTTTCTAATCCTTTCATTTTCTTTACTTTTATTATTCTTAATACTTGATGTCTCTTACTGTCCTAGTGTCTGTTCTCCCTGGTGCCTCTTGTAATTTAATCGTCATTTCTGACTCCCTCCAGTTCTTTCTCGAATTCTATCAGTTCCTGTTTCATATCCCTGTTATTTGGTCATCTTCTGTAGTCAGGACATTTCTTCTCTAAGTTCCTATAATTCTGATTTGTGGGCTGTTTTTCCCAGCTGTCATTGCTTCATTGAGTTTTTTTAAAATATGTTTTTATTGATTTCAGAGAGAGGGAAAGGGAAAGGGAGGGAGAGAGAAACATCGATCAGTTGCCTCCTGCATGCACTCCAAACAGGGACTAAACCCAAAACCTGGGCATGTGCCCTGACAGGGAATTGAACTTGTGACCTTTCATGCATGGGATGACACTCAACCAACTGAGCCACACCAGCCAATATGCTTCACTGAGTTTTAATTTATCTTGGAATGTTGGATTTCATTTTCCTCTACTTTGTGACAACACATTTCTGATGAGTTTTCTTCATATCCAGACTTTTGCTTCTCTTTCTGCTTTGTCCTATAATACTCTTGTATTGATACTACTGTTTTACTCTTTTATTTAAATGAGTTTGATTTTCCTGGATCAGCTATTTGCAGATGGATACTGTGGAAAGAGTGTCAGGTAAGCAGAAGATTCCCAGTTTCTCAGTGTGAGGGCTTTTTCTTCCATTGCTACATCGAAGGATACTTTCTTTAATATATAGTTCCCATGTGCCAGGATTCCTCTGATTCTTTTTCTTTTTTTTTTTTAAATATATCCCCATTGATTTCAGAGAGAGGAAAGGAGAGGGAGAGAGAGAGATAGAAACATCAATGATGAGAGAGTCATTGATCGGCTGCAGCCCACAACCGGGGCATGTGCCCTGACCGGGAATTGAACCCTGATCGCCTGGATCCTAGGTCGACGCTCAACCGCTGAGCCACGCCCGGCCGGGCCCTCTGATTCTTATATCCTAACAGTTCAAAGCGGCTTGTACTACCACTCATTTCCTTCCTTCTATTCTTCATCAGTCATTGTTATCAAAGGACACTGTCATCTGCCTTCCAAGGTGGTCTCCTCTCTTTTGCAAGGGGTGCTTCTTAAAATTTTCCCTTTATAGACTTCCATACACTTTGTGTGCCTTCTCTGTCTCCACAACACACATGCCCCATGTCTCTCCTTTGTCCTCTTCATAGCCATTCCCTCTCAAAGTGGGTCCTTTTCAGACATCTGAAGGTTAATATTTGCTAATAAGTTTTGGAATTTGCCACCATTACAACCCCTATATATTTTCTGAACCAACCCACTGTGCCCACCATGCCAGTGCTCCAGTTGTGGCTTCCCATATTGATTCTGCTGGTTTAGGGTGGTTTGGGCCAAAATTACATATTTTAGTTTGTAAATTTCCTTTATTCCTAGTTTCACTGATAATAATAGTTTCCTATATGGATTTTTTAAGGACGACAAATGAGACAACTAGAACTAGGCTGTCACCATATCCCTATAAGAAATTCCCAAGATACCTTTTGGAGAGAAGTACAAGAAACTAAAAATATATAATTAAAATGCCTGGTGGCTGTTTTTCAGGTGTATATGTCTTAGCTCCTCTGCTTGGGTATAAGCCTCTGAAGAACAGGAACTGATTCTGACACCTCTGTGTACCCATGGTGCACTATACAAGGTCAACCTTTTATGAATAGTAAGAGTCACAGCAGAGCCCACATGACTCTAGCCATGTCCATAACATCTCCTCTCCAGAAAGACATACAGGGATCCCTGTACTTGTTTTTGCAATTACACTGCATAAGTTCTAAGAGTTTTTTCCATATATGGTGTTCTTTAGAGAGAGAAATGGGGAGGCATTGTTACTTGGTATTGTTGAGATGAAGGGTCTTGGATCACTGTTCTGGCCATTGACCCAAAGCATTTGTACTTCTCAGTTAATCCCATCCTAGCTGGGAGGCTGGGCACTCCCCAGTCTATAAGCACCCCATCAAGAATGTGAACAGGGCACTTTAGAGGTGCACTCAGGAGGCTTCTGACTCTAGTGGAAGGATGGAATGCCAATACATGCTGGCTAACTTGCTTTATGCTTTCGCCAGGGCATAGACTCATTAGGCTCAGGCTTCCAGACCTGGGAACTCAATCTTGGGGATGCTTTCACCTTTAACCACCCCGAATCCTTCCTCCCAACACATACTGAAGAAAAGTTTTCTGTACCAAGTCAGACTTTTATATGGGGAGATTACTTTTTTTTTTAAATATGACTGACTCAAACACCTTCATGGTTACAGTCTATTTGGTTTTTGCCTTATGAAAGTTCACTTCACTTAATCATTTTGTAATATCCCTTCCTCCCCTCCTGCCCTCCAAGCCAGGTTTTTGAGGTATGGATTAACAGACAGTAGTCCTTCTTTTATTGAAAACATCTGCAAAA